CTTCAGAGCTCCTTTTCTTCCCTCTCACGCTTGTCACAGTTTCTTCCGCCACCTGGTTCAACCTATATTTACCTGCCTTTGGTTAGAAGAAAGTCATTTTCAGAGGTGGGTAGCTGCGCTGGTATTCGACCAGAACGGAGGCAATAGGCATCCAAAGTTAGGTATGATAAACGCCCTCCCACCATCCTTCCCGGGAACTGCACAAGGCACTGCATAAAAAGATATGTTCTTCTGTTCCAGAAGAACAAGGAAGCTACTGCCTAAAGTCCTGCATGAGCTTTATGACTTAATTACGGCTCGTTTCACAGAACGGGAAAGCCCATGCATTTTTCCTTACCCCACGCACACCTTCAGTCTCCGAAAAGCTCTGGTGTTTGGTTGCCTCGGTCAGAGAAAACTTGCATGCTCGTCCCTCGCCCCACCCCACTGTCGCTGCAAGAACAAAAAACCTCTTTGGCCCTTAACTTGTGGTGTGGTGAACCCACACTGTCCTGGACGCTCTGGAAAGGCGCACAACACAGAAACCATCAGAGTGGTTTATTTGTGGATATTCTGGTGGAGCAACTCCAGAAATGAGCGTTGATATTTTATTGCACAGGGGCACGGGGCGCACCTTTGCTCCCTGCTGCAAATACGTATCTGGGTGCTGAATAAAAACGAAAGAGCTGTAGAAAGGAAGCGGGCAGTAACACAACAGGGACTTGGCAGGACTAGCGTTTGAGAAATGCTTCGTAAGCCGTGTGCTCACCTCCCAGCTTCACAGGGCTTGCTTCGCTTTTCTTGCAGAATGCTGATCAACCTCATCAAATACAAGCCCCAGATCACCCAGGAACAGCTGACCTCCGTCACGGCGGCCTTTACTGCCATGAGGGAACAGTGCTGCAAGGAAGAGAACCGTGAGGCGTGTTTTGTGAAAGAGGTATCATTTCTGTTTTCACCCATACGTTCTGAATCAGAACGGAAACATGGAGTATACGCAAAAGCGTAAATTTCTCCATTAAGCAGCAAAACCAAAGCCTGATTAGGCAGAATTCCTGCAGTTACATTTCCGAAGACAAACTTCATTGCCTGCCCAAGTAGATACGTGTGCCAGTTGAATGATCACTAGAGAACTTATCTGATTAGTCTTGTGTTTATGTGCAGCAATTTACAGGTACAGAGCTCAGCTACAGCTGTTGCTTCCGGGGAGTCACTGGGACTTGCACTGTTGAAGGGTACGGGCGAAGATCTTTCCCTGGCTAACAGTTCTTAACCGAATTTCTCTTGAGAAGTTCCTCTGCAATAGGGAGAGAAAAGAGATATTCAAATTTTAGGTCAAAGCATTTTCCCCGTTAATTCTCCCTACTTCTGTTTTCCTCTTGTCTTTCCTATGTTATTTTAGCTCGCTGAACTTCATGCTGCAAAGCTGCTTTGGCTTCTCTTTACCCTCCGGTAAAGCCGCTTTTGCCTACTTCTCATCTCTCGGTCTTCGACACGTTCCTTAACTGAACTTTAACAAACCATCCAAACCCTTGAGCCTTGCTCTCTCTTTTCCTAAGTCTTTGCCTTGCTTCGCCTTAAATGATAAAATACAGAAAATTCTCTCTTTCAATAATAAGAAACTTCACCTCCAAATACACCCAAACAGCTTATCTGTAAAGAAGCATTCTAGTAACTCTTCCGAACAGAACTCTACTTCAGTATTTTTCTGACTAATGCCAGGTCTTCTATGGCAATCTGAGCTGAACAGTAAAAGCAAAATATATATTAGACATAGCGATATATGTATATGCACGCTGCATATACAGCATTTGTACACAACTTGCGAAGATTATAAAACATTACCCACTGCTGCCATGCTCGTTTAAGTTGTTCACAAGTACATCATCTTCCTGGATCTATTGCTTATAGATATTTTGCTTTTTTTTCAGGGTCCAGAACTTATAAAAAGAAGTGAAAAAATGTTGTCGGCATAAAGAGCTTGCAGAGCATATTGGAGGATACTTGCTGAATGATAGGAACTCACGCTAACTTAACAGTGAGCATATCTTTTCTAAGAGTTCATGAAGTATAAACAGGAACAAATGATTTGTTATAGTGGAGAAAACTATGTTGGGGCTCTTTACTCACAAACCTAATGAAGCCATGACGGTTTACACCAGCTACAGTCCTGCCACCGCCCGATCTGCCGCTGTGAACAAGGTAAAAGAGGTGCCTCAGAATACAACATCAGATTTCCGCATAGAACCTGCTGAGCTGTGGAACTGTAAACTCGGTCTGCTCGCAGAGCTCAGCGTACCTGAAAATTAAACGTGTTTATCCGTTTTATTCTGACGGGGGAGAAACCCGTATGCAAACCTCATCTCTGGCCCCTATCGCTTTGATTCAAAACGATCAAGGATGTGTAAAATTTGAACTAAAACAAGCAACTTAAAGCCTGTTTAAGTCCAGAGTGAGGGTGCATCGCCTTAAACAAGTCCACCGAAAGAATAAGTTAAATGCATGGAAATTCAGGGTTTAGATGTGGCCACCATCTTATGTTATGGAATATTATTTTACTTATACCGAATAGTCACAGACACCAAAAAAAGAGAAAGACGTTTTAAGTCTTAAGCTTTCGAAACATAAACGCAAATGAGATTAAGTTAAGAAAATCTGCCTGTAACCACTTCTAGATTATTTTCCAATCACCACAATTATTTTTGCATTTTTATAGCACTGTCCTTGAAATACAACACATGCGCTCACTAATACGGGCTGCTCTAGGGAAGTTTTAAAGTTGCCTTTAAGCAGAGAAAAAGATTACCTTGGGCATCCCGAAGAGAGTGAGAAAGAAAAATGAGCAAAGAGTCATGGAAAGGACAGAACGTGAACTGCTGAAACACCTGCTCAGCAGACTCTTTAGAGAAATGGTTAGAGAAAGCACCAGAAGGCTGCCAAATTTACACTCCAGGTGGTTTGACAGAAAAACAGCTTTTGGGTTTTTAATTCCTTTTTAGATTAAAAGAAATTAGAAGGCGTGTTAAAAATCATATGTCAAAAACAGTACTAAAGGAAAGAAATAGTTTTTCTGGAAACCTTTGGCTCGAAGGAAGAGATACCCAGGTATCAGATTCTTCCGGTGGACGTACCTAGCAGTAGTTATCCTAGGAGCATTTCAGACTATCTGTAAGATGAAGAAACATTGCCCAAACAAACGTCTCATAAAATGCAAACCCAGCTTGAAGTATGACCATCAGAGAGAACGTTTCAGAGTCAGACTGAAGAGGTCGACCAAATTGAGTCCCATCGGAATCTATCCTGTATATACTGCTAGGCAATATTTTCATTAAGGATGTAAATAAGGAGAAGAAAATCCATTCGTTACGTTTGGGGCTGGCAGCCAGACGGAGACACGCTGTTGCAAATCCCTGAGCAACATCTTTAATGTCAAAATCATCTTGGCAAATTAGAGAAATAGCCAAGAAGAAACCAGCTGTGTTCTACGAGGACAAGTTTAACATAGGTATGATTAAGCAGCCGCAGCATTCCAGTCCAGGAAAACTACTCATCAGGGAGCTGTGCGGATAATAATGCAGTTATAACAAATCACAAGCTAAGAGTCACCAATGCTTGGCTGCTAATTGAAGTCTAACGTCGTGCTTGCATACCAGGGGTACGAGCAGAACAACGCACAAAACACAAGAACAAGCTACGTAATATACATACCGTGGTTTCATTTTCCTTACCTCTGGTAAGGACTTTGCTGGAGCATTAGGACAAATCTGGGGTACCTCACTTCTACAAAGCATTTCACTGAAAAGGGAGCAACGGCAACAGTCGATGATACAAAAAACAGGAAGAGGAAAGCTAAAATAGATTGGGGTTGCCTGGTTTAATACGAAAGGCTGCAGGAACTTGGAAATCTTCATATATCAAAAAAGACTGATCCTGGGACAGAAAGCAGCCAGTCAGTGCCCTGCAAGGGGAACAAAGCCCCGGGATCGACCGTCTGGGAAAAGTGGGGAGCTGTGAGAGAACCACAAATATTTAACAGGCTTTGCCCCAGTAGCAGTGATGTTTTCGGTCCCAAAACAATGATTAGATGGCCATCTTGGGCTTCTCTTAGCACTGTGTTTTCTGAAGATCAGGCTTCTGGTATTTAGGGGGTGGTTTGTGTTTTCAGCCTTTTTTTTTTTTAAATCCAGCCATGACCAGATTTTTTCATGGGGTAGCTTGGTAGTACAAATTCAGGTAAGACAGATACTCCAATTGCTTTCTTCATGGTTAAAAGCTTAGGCTCTGAATTCAAAAGCAACCCCCGTTTCCTGTCACATCTGCTTTTCTTTCGCTGTGTTACCTTAAGTATCCAATAATGCTTTGGAATAAATTCTTCCCCTGTTCTTGTCTGCACGTGTCAGAAACAATTCATTTCAGTATTGAAATGAATCACAGTATTCACGAAGAACTAACACCACAGCAGAGTCACACCTTTGTTTC